TTTGTGGGCCGAAAACAAGGGGAGAGTCCATCAGCGTGCTTCAGAGATATTCGCAGGCCTGATCTTTCCTGAGGAGTACTGTCGTGGTAAGTTTATATATACTGGGGTTTCAAGCGACATGTCTGGGTCGCAACATGAACTCGGTCCGAGCCAGTGTTACGCGGCGCCGCTTTGGTCGTTTGGAGCTACATGCGGATGGTTTGCTACGGGCGCGGTGGGTTACAGAATTTTCCTTGGGATGGCTTGCAGGCTGCAGAAACTACGTAGTATGAATTCCGTGCTTCTAGATCCATGGGGTGGCGGCACTACTACGTTGGTGCCATTACTGCATGCTGCGCACAGACTGCAGACTGCAGGTATGTACGTGCACCGATCTACATCAAAATGATTTACAAAGCTTTCATGCCGGATGGTGGAATCCAGGGCCTGTTGCCGGCCTTTTTGCCTACGAAGAAGTGTAGGCTGGTAGCTCTGTGTCGGTTCACTTCAGGCCGTTCACATGTAACCGATGCTTAGCTATTCCACAAGCCCCTCAAAGCCTACCCGCCCAGTTGCGAGTGGGGGATGCAGCCTCGCTCAAACCAGGGGAGGCCGGAGTAGATGTGTTGGAGTGAAGTGCTTTCAGCTTTGCAGTCCAGCAGGAAAAAGGATTCCTGCCCGTAATGATAGGCTTTCAAGCTTCTGTTTGATGGAGTGACTGCATTTGGAGATCTGGAGAGCTTCCTGCATGGGCCAGTAGTTAGGCTCAGCTCCAGGTGTTCGCATTTGCATGTTGAAGACGATGTGTTGGCAAGTTGGTTTTGGGTGCGCATGTTCTAGCCTGCTGGAGCACGTTTCCCTGCTTGCCACTTTTGAACTTCTGATACTATCGTGCTTCGCCGTTTGAGTTGTCGGTGGGCCTCGAAGCCTGGTAGGGATTCACGACAGTTTGGGGAGTTTTTACAGTCAAGGGTTCCTGAACAGCATCTTAGCATTTAATGCATAATGTGGGAGCCTGATTAGTGCGGGGGTGCCCCCCTTCCCCCAAACAGAAAGGGTAGCCCCTACAATGAAAAGGCCTCAAAACGAATTTGGGAGTCAGAGGGAACCTATGGCTCCTTTTAAATCGAAAAGGAAGAGAAATCCTTCGGCTTCTATTGAATCCATGTAAGGATTTGCTCAGTCTAGATTTCAAGAGAATAGCAAGGGCAGATTCCGCGGCCTTTACGTTAAACAGCCTGGTCTTGAAAACCTAAGCAATTACAATCTAGTCAAAATCATAAGCTCTTCAAAATCAATTAAAGATGAATTTGACCAACACCGTCCCTAGAATTTTTTGCGGCAGGAAAATATAATTTTATTGGGATCCCCAAATCGAATAATTAGGGGGTCCAGAATAGTTTTGAAAAATATTGGTTCTTAGTAGGGAATAACAAACTTTGTCATATAGAATTTATATAGGGGCTATATTTCAACCAGCAAGTTATTTACATGGCACTAGTCTGAGTTGTCGAGCCGCTGACTCGCAGTCAGGGTGCTCTATGGGACGGCTTGCCCAAGGGACTGCTGAACGATGTGCTGACAGGTTCTTAGTAGGGAATAAGTAGGGAATATAATCCCCTATGTAACCCTATGTAATCCCTACCCCTACTCCCTCCTAAGAAAGTGTAAGTCTTCTTGTTTGAGCTTTTAGCCTCGGGGTTGTGCTTGCCTTATGTCGCACATCCCTTCGCGAGTTTCAGAGCCAAGGGCTTCGGGGCAAACAGAGAACATGCCCGTTTTGTGATGCGCTCAAAAGACTGCGCTCTGCAAGGTCATCATCAAGTGGGAGCACCCGGAAAGCTACAACATTCCCGTGCAGCACTATCGAGTGGGACTCTCTGCTCTAGAGTTGCAACGCGAGTTGTTAGTGTAGCCAGGGGGCCCACTGAGCTGGCTATGCACATGGGAAGAAATTGCTAGGCAGTACTACCTTCTCACCGGAACACGTGGGTTATGAGACGGGATGTCGCTATCCACCACTCCCAAATTCCGAGGATGCCGTGGCGACCGTACGGGCCCTCCCACTTGGAACCCGCGAACCCCCCTAGCAAATATATGATGGTATTATATGATTGGATTTCATTTGGGAAGGTTGGAAGGGATTGTTCACCCCGCGCTGTGAGGACGCGTAGGCTGACCCACAAATTCAGGAAACTGGCCAAAAATGGGAGAATAGGGGTTCCCCTTAAGAAAATATGCCCCAAAAAATTATGAACCTTCTTACGGGGATTCTTGAAAACAAGCCCCGCTAACTATGGAACCCCCCAAACAAACCTCTTGCATGCCCTTGTAGCTATGTTCTCGAGGTTCGAAGCTCGCTCTCAAAGGACATGTCGAGCCCAGTAGAGGTCGAACCTGCACTTGTCTAGGGGCTAGGTACCGCAGTAGTACCCCTTTTCCCTTTTTATTTCCGGTCTCCTTTTTAAAGCTGAGCGGTGGGAAAGGCGTCACCCTTTTTAAGGGGTTACTGGGAACCTAGGGGGTTGCCGGTTTAGGGGTTGAGGAATCCGGCTTGAAAGTGGTTGAGTTCAGGTATATAGGGATAAATAGGCATATACAGCAATAGATAGGTATATACAGGGATATAGAGGGGGCCTTTCTGGTGGGGTTCAAGGCTATGGTTCAAGTCTTTGCGGTTGAAGAGCAAGGGTTTTGGCCTGATAGTTGGTTGAAGCTGGAACTTGAAACTTTCTCAAATTCATGAGTACGTTTGGGACGGCATGATTGTGGCAGAATATATTATGTTCTAGAAGGACTGCGAATGTGAAGGATACGGTGGACGGCCAAAAAAGCACCTCTGCAGTTTCGTTTGCCTAAGATGGTTACCTGGGGGCGGGTCCTCATGGCCCAGAAGCTGATGATTCCTGAGCGGCTTCTTTTTTCGTTATTGGCTCAGCCACGTCCAGCCCTATTTGCAGCTAGGGCTTTGAGATCCTTCAAACCACGCCCTGGGCCCAAACGCATGATGCAAAGCCCCAAGTCTAAAGAACATGCCTAAGCTTCCCTGAATGGGCAAATGACGATAAATGCGGATAGCGTTTCCTCAAAATCTGTCGATACTATCATAGCTTACTACTAAGTTTAGTATCACGATGATGCTGCAGATAATGACTGGATGATCCGTAGCGCCAGTAACAAAACATCATATGCTGCCGTGGTAAATCCTCGACCTACCAGCCCTATTCCAGTTCTCGTGGACCCTCCCTCCGTTACACTGCCTGGGAATAGACCTTTTCCGTGGATTACAGAGGTTTGCAAGTTTGTGCTGAGATTGTATACTCAGTGAATCTGCAGAAAGCTGTATGTTTTGCGTCTGGGTGTGTATGCATTTTTCCTCATGTGCAGGTCTTAATATGATTTAATATGTGAAGCAAATAGTCTTGACCCGGCTAGGTGCTGACTGGCCTAGCGCAAAAAACGGGTGTGGGCCTCGATAGGAACTATCAGATCCTTTGGTTTCCTCCTGTTCCAGGTTCCTGTAGCTGTACGGTTTAGGGTCATGGGGCTAAGGATCCAGATAGTTGGAGCTCTGGGGAATGTCAAGTTCACATGGTTGTTTTTTGAAGACTAGAGTCAGGCCTGCGGATATCGCCAGTGCTATGGTCCCAACTGTAGGCACACCTAAAGAGACGCCGAGTGCTTCTCGGAAGTCATTTTATTGCACGATGCTGCATGCACCCTTTCAATTTTAATGCAGCATAGGGTAAATGCAGGTGCGAACACACGAACGTATGATCTAGTGTTGCTGCATGACTGTTTTGAAGGGATAGCATTCCTGATTTTTCTGGCTTCTGCAGATTTCCTCGCTCCCAAGTTGCATAGTAATTTTGTGAGGTTTGCATTGGCTGTGTCCGGGTGTCGAAGGGGGTCTATGAAGATTTTGATTGCGGGGCGTCTTTGTCATTGAGCGGTTGCCCTGAGGCCAGGGCCACAAAGGCGAGCTTATGGAAGCCGAAGGACAAGGCACAACCAGAGACGCTAGTGCCAGACTCGTGGCAGTTTAATGGTAGTTCTGGTCTTCAGCAGCCATATTCGAAGCACATCATTAATCCCCTCTCCCGCTATGACTAGCAAGCACCAAGCCTGGAGTGAGAGACACATCTGCCAACATGTCTTGGAGTTGGCTTGGCAATGTTTTGGGCCATAGTTAAGAAGTTCTGCATTTAGTAACAAAAGGGGGGGGCAAAGGAGGCGGCCTCCCAAATGTGTATCCCATCATACTGTAGGCTACAGTCCTTGTTACAGGGAGTCCCAAAAAAGGGGCTCCTAAACCCTAAACCAATGATAATGGACCTGGCGCCAGGGCCTCCGCAGATCTTGATCGGTGGACAGAAGCGCTTTGCCCGTGGCAGTTACGCTCGTGGCTCAGTTTCTTGGAATTGACTGCTAGAAAACCGAAGTGATCCGCTCATTTTCCATATCATTTTTCATTTTCAATGTTCTTGTCCATTCGAGTCTCCATCATAATATCTCATAGTGATAGTGCTGAAGTTTTTGTCAGGAGAGCGGTCCAACAGGGACACTTGTAGTTTAGATGATTCGTGTTACACCTGTCAAGAGGAACACCATTCCATGTTGTGACCTACAGCGCTCATGCTTGCTATGTGTGCATGACTGCAGGCATGCCTTTGGCCAGCTTTCAGCTACGACCAAGTAGGTACCCTTAGGGTCCCCCGCTTGCCATAGGCATCAAGGCAGTCCCAGGACTACTCGAACGCCGTGACGGCTGGCAGAGAAAAGTGACCGCTCGTCTTCGCGACTGCTGTGCATTTTTGGTTGTGCTCCTGGGATTCCTTGAGATTGGTAGCGGAGCGCTATCGGTCCAAGGGGCTTCAGGGAACCAACGCGTTGGGAACGGCCCACGTGGAATTCATCGAGGGCGGCCTCGACTATTTTGCCTTCTTCGAGGGGGCGGAGCTCCGGCTCCGACAAGTTCTTCGTGGACCAAGAGAGCGTGAGCTTCGGTGTTCGCCTGCGCTATGACATCGGAGCAACGAGATGCCCCCTCCCTCAGATGTACGTGGGACGGGGAGCCAAGTACTTGGAACGATTTTTGCAGGAAGGTGAGGCTCGCGTTTGAACAAACGCCTCGCAGAAAGCGGCATTTGTTAGCTCCTCGAATCGTCAGTGACTTGACAGGACGCGCTTGGGCAATAACTGGAGACTTGAGCCACAAGGAGTTATGCCGTCGTGACGGCGTGATATATCTTCTCCAGTATTTGAAGGAGTCCTTGGGCAGACTTCCCGTGCCTGACATTGGTGTTCGACTCGAGGCTTTGATGCTGCGGCTCCGGAGATCTCCTGTGCAGAGTATGGCCACCTGGGCAGCTCACCTTCGACTCCAGTACCGTCACTTGCAGGTTGCCCTTTCGCGAGTGCGAACCAAGGCCGGGGAGAAACCAAGGTCTGGTGGGAAGCAGGCTTCGACTCCTTCTGTGCCTTCCTCTCCTGCGAGAAGGGTAAGTGTGGCAACCGAGGAGGAGCCGCATGCTGAGACCCAGGTCGCAGAAGAAGATGATCAAGTGACCATTGGCCCAGGCCTTGACGAAGCTCGGGACGACGAGATCGAGCTGCAGGAAGATGTCTCCACCCTTAAGAGACGACCTCGCAAGGACTCAGACAGCGATGATTCGGCCAAGGCCCTGGAGGACATCCAACTGTGGGAGGCGCACGAAGAGCATCTTCCCGAGGTGTTGCCCTCGGAGGTGTTGGGGTGGCTCCTCCTACGACGAGCTGGCCTGACCAGCCAACAGAGACTGTCTGTCCAGGCGGCAGCTGGCAATAGCCTCAAGTTGGACGCCATCGAGAGAGCTCTTCGGGGAATGGAGGAAGAGCTCCTGCAGAATGAGTACCAAGGCAAGGGAGGAAGAGATCCCTCTCGCCGGCGCACTTACTGGGTGGAAGAGGCTGGACATTGGTCTCTCCTGCTTGGAGAGTCTGCTGAGCTTGATGACTTGGTGGACGGCGGGGAGACGTTGTATGTTGGCGAAAGACTTCCCCAGCAGGTGTACTACGAGGCGCCGGCTATGTGTGGCATTCTTCCGAAGCTTGGGCGGATCAGGAGATGTCCCCTACTTCATGGTGGTCCTCTTCCGAAAGCCCGGAGAGCTGGATGGATGAGGCCGGAACGACGACGTCGACCTAGCCGACCTCACCCCGGAGGAGCAGAAAGAGGTTGACGAGGCTTTCGCCATTGCAGAGCAGAAGATGCGAAGCTTTGTGCAGGCCAGGCAGGCTGTGAAGGCTCGAAACCTTTCCAGAGGGTTCTACCCCTTCTCCCCTCATGCCAAAGAGGGAACCTTCAAAGGAAAGAAGGGCAAGGGGAAGGGCAAAGCAAAGGGGACCGCCTCCAGCAGCACTTCATGTCGGAGGGCTTCCTGGGCGCTGCTGTTGGAGATCCTTCCTACACAGGATGTTTCATCTGCGGCGACAAGGGACATGACTTTAGAAGCTGCCCCAAGAGATCGTCTGGGAAAGGCTCGAAGGGCAAGAAAGGAGGTCAAGTCCACTTTGTGGATGCAATGGTCTTCACTGTGGAGGAAGTTCCTGATACTGGAGAATGTTTCCAGAACCTTGGCGACATCGAGCAGCCGGTGCCAGAGAGCGAGATGGCTGGCTACGCGGTCATTGACAGCGGGGCGACGGCGACCGTGTGCAGCGTGCCAGCATTGGAGGCTCTGGTGAATCTCAAGGAGGTCCAGCATGGTAAACCTGTTGGCCTGGAGGTGACTCGTGAGCCGGTGAAGCGTTTTAAGTTTGGCAATGGTGAGCATGCGTATGCATCCTCGTATGTGCTGCTGGACCAGGTGCTTGGTGAGCGCAAGATTCAACTAGGGATGTTCACTTTGGATGTGGAAGGAGTGCCTGTGTTGTTGGGAATGAAAACGTTGCGGAGGCTGAAGGCGATCATCGACTTTGACCGATGCCTGGTGGTCTTTGCTGCGGTCAACCCCAACCTGGCTATTGGCCTGCGGCGGAGCCGAACAGGGCACCTTCTTTTGGATCTCACCCAGGATTGGCTATCCCAAGGAGTGCACCTGGATCAGATAGGATCTGAGTTGAAGCTTCACCCTGAGATCCTCTGTGCTGAGATCAAGGAAAATGAGGGCGTCTCTGCATTCATGGTTGTTGAAGATTCGCATGTCCCTGACGCCACAGATCTCTTGGTGCATGTTGAGCCTCAGACTTCTCAGTTGCCAGTGGATGTACTTGCAGTTCAGAAGCGTGCGGGAGAGCCAGCCCTTGCGACTGTTGTTGAGAAGTCTGTTGCTACTTCGCAGCGTATCAGGTCTCAGACTCCTTCCCGTATGAGTACCTTGAAAGCCTTGCTCGCTTTTGCTGCTCTCCATGGCGCATGTGTCGGGAACGGCTCCACCTACGACAAAGGCATCCTCGACTCCTCCAGCTGTGGTCAAGGCAGCTCCGAAAACAAAGTCGAAGGCCAAGAAGGGTGGCACGGCGCCCCCTTTGGAGCCAGAGAGGGGAGAGGGACCGGATTTGAGGGACCCTCGGGCTTCAGGCCCTCCATGCTTCGGGAATCACACCCCAGCTCCATGCTACAAGGGGTCGCCCAGCGGAAGCAACCAATATGGGTCGTGGACCGCCTGCTCCAAGTGTCTGCTTCGACTGACTTATGTTCCTCGACAAGGGCAGCACGGGATCTACCGGCGGTCAGCACCGTTGGCTGCAGATGTCAAGGAGAGTGCCAAAGTCAGGAAGTACCAGAGAGTGGTGCGACATTTGCTGCTCCTTTCCAGAGAAGCCTTCGAGAAAGGCCAAGAGGTGGTGTGGCTGACTCATCCTGCCTCTCAGGTATGGAAGCTTCCTGAGGTGGTGGCCTTCTGGAAAACAAATGCACATGGGCCTCTGGCAGTGGGCAATGAGGTTGTGCGGTTGACCAGTACCAGCGCAGCCATCCAGAACACCTTCTCCACTACCACGGCTGAGGGCTTCTTTCAGGTTTTAGACACAAAAGACCAGGACCGATCAGCCAGCCAGAACACCTTCTCCACTACCGGCAAGGGCTCCTCAGAAAGTATCTGGTCATGGTTGTCACGTTCGATCGCACGCAGGCATGGCGATCTGATGTGGACCGAGGATGGAGAGCTCTACCCCATTGAGACGTCTGTGTTGGAGACCCTTGAGCCTTCAAAACTTCAGAAGCTGTTTGAGGATGTGCGGAAGCTTCATCGTCGCTTTGGGCACCCGTCAAACCGTCTGTTGGTGAAGAACCTGCAAGCGCGCAATGCGGACCCTCTGGTGATAGCGGCGGCATCTCAGCTGGAATGTGACGAGTGCCTTGAGGGGCGCATCAAGATGCCGAGCCCAGCGGTGAACCTGGAGCGCACCGATCGACTGTGGTCGTGCTTGCAGGTGGATGGCTGGGACATGAAGTTCAACGGCATGCTTCACCACTTCCTCCTTCTGGTGGATGGGCCTGTGGCTATGCCGTGTTGCGGGAGGTGTTCCGAGTGCCTGATGATCAAGGCAGAAATGCCACCAGGCAAGAGGTTCTTGACATCATCCAAGAGGCCTGGATCCAGTACTTTGGCTACCCCGAGACCATCAAAATGGACCTTGAGGGAGCCCATCGCTCCAAGAAGCTTCGGGAGTACTTCCTGGAGCATGGGATTGACTTCGTGCCAGCGCCGGCAGAGCATCACGAATCTATTGCTCAAGCCGAAAGATCAATCGGCATTTTGCGCTCCAAAACGGAGGCATTCCTCAGAGGAACGCCAGTGGACCCCAAGCAGGCAGCCATCGCTATGATCGCAGCTCACAACTGCTTGGCAAGAGTGCACGGATTTTCTCCGTTACAATGGGCACTGGGCAGAGATTGGTCCCCAGGAGGTCGTTTGATGGAGTCCGACCACGATGAGGTGACTCTCACTCAGCCTTCATCTTCGTCGTGGCAGCCCCGGAGAGATGCTGAGAAGGCATTTCTTGAGCACCGGGCACGCGAGCAGGCTACTCGAGCCAGCAACACTCGTACTCGGGACCACGTGAAGTACCTCCCTGGAGATCTCATCTTTTATAGACGCCACCAGCGCCCTGCAGATTTGCCAGCAAATAACATGTTGGATTACCCGAGGCTTCGAACTGCAAGGTGGTATGGGCCAGCCCGTGCTTTGGCTTGTGAAACCAAAGTGGATGGCACATCTCGCCGGCCATCTGCCATGTTGTGGGCGATTGCTGCTGGACGTCTCAAAAAGTTCCATGCTACCCAGGTGCGTCACGCGTCGGAGGCTGAAAAGATGGTGAGCAGTGCAGCCGGCGCCACAACCTTTCTTTGGACGTTTTCTTCCTTGACTTCTCTGCTGCAGAAGGGGAGCTATGACGACGAGACCAAGCCTCGGCGCCGAACGTGGGGAAGATCTTCTCGTGTCAAGGCTAAGTCTCGAGAGTCTAAGGAAGAGTCTGCTGCACCCCGAAGAAGGACTGTTCCCTCTGGCGCCCCGCAGCATGTACGCGATGCCCCTTCTGATGAGGAGATGGTTCCGGACAAGGAGGAGAGGTCCAAACGGCCTTTGTCAGATGCCCAGGAGGACGAGCTGGACGTGGATCGGCTTCTTGAGGATGTCACGTACCTTCCTCCCGGACAACCTGGCCCTGTCTCCTTTCGTGAACAACGAGCTTCCCATGAGAGGAATGACCGCCCATGGCATGTTCAGCATGGCTCGGCTTCCATGTTCGTGGAAGAGGACTTCGCAAGCACCTTGTTTTCGGTGACTTTGGAGATCCCTGAGGACCCCAAAGCTTGTTCATGGTGAAGCATGTTCAGAAGGGCGTGGAAGTGGCTTACCACAAGTTGAATGAGAAGCAGAAGGAGGCCATGAATGCGGCTAAGACTGTCGAGTTGGAGTCTTGGTTAGGCAACAAGGTCGCCAAGGCTGCTTGCCCTTCCATCACAGAGGATCAATGCATGCGTATGCGGTGGTTGTACACCTTCAAAGCAGCAGGGGACGAACCTTCCGAAAAGGGGAAGGTCAAGGCTAAGGCAAGAATAGTGGTCTTGGGGTTCTCCGACCCCTCGTTGTTGGAAAGAACCACATCGAGCCCGGCAATGTCTCGGCTGAGCAAGATGTTGCTCCTGAACCTGGCAAGCTCACGGAGATGGAAGATACTTGCCGGCGACGTCAAGACGGCTTTTCTTCAAGCGAAGCCACCTGAGAGATTGCATCCTCTGTACGCCAAACCTCTCCCGGAGTTGGCCGAGGCCATGAAGCTGAGCGAGGGCCAGATGATAGAATTGTTAGGTTCTGCATACGGCTTGACATCAGCTCCCCGGGAATGGTTCGATGACTTCTCCTCCACCCTGCGGAAACTTGGAGCCAAGCAGAGCAAATGCGACCCCTGCTTGTGGACCATCGTGGACAGCGAGGGCGTGGTTCGAGGTCTTCTCGGAGTTCATGTTGATGATGTGCTGTTCTCAGGGGATGAAGGGTCGCAGGTGTGGACAGCTTTCCTCCACGAGCTGCATGATTCTTACAAGTGGGCCTTGTGGGAAGCCGAAAACTTCTTGCACTGCGGCCTCCGGCTACAACAGTTTGCGGATGACTCCGTGATGCTTGACCACTCTGAGTTTTGCAGCAACCTGAGCCAAATGCCATCAAGGGCGAAGGGAGACGAATCCCTTCTGAGTGATAAGGAGATGAGCCAGGCAAGGGCCATCTTAGGGTCGGCCCAATGGAGGGTCACCCAATCTGGACCCCAGCATGCGGCGGAGCTGAGCTACCTCCAGAGCTTCCTGGCTTCCCGACACTACTCTGCCGTGGACCAGGTGAACAAGCTTGTCAGAGAGATCTACGCTTCCCGCCACGTGAGTGCTCGAGTCCAACAGCTCAACTGCGAGTCTCCTGAGCGGTTGGTGATGGTCGGCTACAGCGATGCTTCCTTGGCCAACAGACCGGATGGTTCTTCGACTGGGGGTCACATCTTCGGTTTCATGCATCCGGATGACTTTTCCCGCGGCAACGGCAAGTTGAACCCCATCGGGTGGAAATCAGCAAAGCTGAGCCGGGTGGCACGGTCAAGTTTGTCGGCGGAGGTCCAAAGCCTGGCTGACCTTGAACAGGAGATGATGCTGGCTCGTTTGACGTGGTGTGAGCTGCTGGGAAGAGAGGTTGACTTGTCTGATCCAGCAACCTCTGTTCGACAGGTCCCTGCGGCGATGATCATTGATGCCAAGGCCGTTTACGATGTTCTGGACAGGGACACGGTGCTCTCTGCGACAGTGGGGATCAAGGACAAGTACTCTGCCCTCGAGTTGGCCGCCTTACAGCAGCACATCTCGCAGCAGGGCACTCTGGTACTGTGGTGTGACTCGGACCGCCAGCTGGCAGACGGCCTCACTAAGAGCTCCAAGCAGGAGGTCATAAAATCGTTCCTGATTACTGGAACTTGGCGGCTGAGGATGGACGGAGCGTTCATCTCAGCTAAGAAACGCAAGTCCATGGAGAAGGCTCATGAACATCGTGACGATGCATGAGCGAAAACCTTTTGATTTTGTCTCGACAAGCTGAGTGCTTTCGGTCACCCTTTTCTGGGGTGTGTCAAGAGGAACACCATTCCATGTTGTGACCTACAGCGCTCACGCTTGCTATGTGTGCATGACTGCAGGCATGCCTTTGGCCAGCTTTCAGCTACGACCAAGTAGGTACCCTTAGGGTCCCCCGCTTGCCATAGGCATCAAGGCAGTCCCAGGACTACTCGAACGCCGTGACGGCTGGCAGAGAAAAGTGACCGCTCGTCTTCGCGACTGCTGTGCATTTTTGGTTGTGCTCCTGGGATTCCTTGAGAACACCGGGTTTGCTGTTTGTGAAGTTGCCAGCAATGGCAAGCAAATTCGATGATGTGGGAGTTTGCTTCCAAATCCTGCGTGTTGCCGGGGGGTCCTTATAAGACGGTGTCGATGATTTGAAGGTATGTTGAGGCGCTTCCAATCCCGCGTGTTGGCGCACCTCGTCCTCCTTGCCTTACAGGGGCGCACTTAGGCAAGGAACAGAGGGGTCTACCTAAGAACCAAGGCCAGTACAGTATATGCGTTTGGGGCTTAGAGAAGTTAGCGTTCACCACAGTTTCACCATAGGCGGCAGGTCCACCCCACAACCTCTCCCCCACAAAGAGTTTGCTTTGCAGGCACTGACCCAGATGAAGGTGCGGGGCCTCCGGCCCTCCACTACATACTACTTTCAGGCAGGATGTATAATTTCGAAGAATGGTCATAGCAGCTAGAGGACAGCCTTATAGGGGATGCGTAGGAATTTTGAGCTCGTGCTGGACGGTTCTTGCGTCGACTAGGTTAGGAGGCTTGCGGTGTGTTTGCGCGGCGCACGCCATCCTTTTCTGCGGGCCTCGCACGGAAACAGCTGCAGTGTCCTTGCTATTTGATGACGTCGCAATTCCAGATTTGTGAAACCTTTTTCAGCCAGCAGCAAGCTGTCGGTGTCCATGGTAGGACCCAAGGTGTCCCAGGCATCCTGACTCGGTCGCCACTAGAAAACAGCATGACAACATGCCACCATCGGCTATGTGATTAATAGTTTGGTACCGCCGCAGAGGTCAGCCCAGCTGAAGTCAAAAGAGCATTTGCATGCAGAATTCTTAGTATGCCTGCATACGCGAACCTCAATTAAGCGAAGTGTAACCTTTCATCACTGATGGAGCATACCAGCACACCAGCCCCCAGTGATTCCCTCATAATTACCCTTATACGGCTCCTTATTGTGCAAAAGTCTACATGGTCCAGATGTTCCTCAATCATCGGCATCCTAAACTTCAAAATCTTTCCTGGGGATTAGGCACAGTATTCGCCCAGATGTACCGAACCCTTGCATGAGCAAGACCTCCTAGCGGCTTCCCAGCAGGTGCAAGCATCAAACCAGATCGGCTGCTCAGTCCGCTCCTTGGGGCCACGTAAAAAGTGTGAGAGGACATACTGTAGAGCTTTGCGGGGTTGAAGTGTTTTTTCCTCGTACGCGCTATTCTGATTACGGCTGGAGATCCGTGATTCTGAAAAGCCAAAGCCTTTGACCCCACTGTTCATGACCCTTTTCTGCTCTCGTGGGGAGTCCGTGAGCTGCTCCAAGCAGACCTACACCATGGCACCGGGATAGTCCGCAGTCATAATATGCAAATGTGTACAAACTTTGACGTGCTCTCTCAATAACCTCCGCAGCTTGCAGTCGTCCTTATGCTGGCTTTGGGCACGTTTTCCAGGAGTGGAGCGATCCTTCATCGCCCATGAAAATGGGCTCCTGTGCGCCAGCCAAGTGTGGGACCGCTGTTGCATATCCGGATGTATGGATCAAGGTTTATCGTGGTTCAGGGTTCCAGACATAGGCGCCTACCTTGTCCCTGTTATCTTGACGTGGCTTGCGGTTCATGCTGTATCGTTTATCTAGGGATTGTGTAGGTGACCTCCAGAGTGGCAGAGACAGAGGAGAACGACAGAGATCGCTTTGCAGATTGGCAGAGCTCGTATGTTCCACTAACGAAAACCGAGAAGATGTGACAACCCAATAAAAACACGACGCCAAGCCCTAAACCTGAACTCCTTTATCCTCAATTGTAAGCAGTTTTGAACCACCTTGCGCAGGAAACCTCGATTCATTTTTGGCTGTGTCAAAGATGGCATGCGTATTTACTGGCCTGCCTACGGCTTAGCCGAGCTTCCGTGGGATTTCAGGATGTGGGGTTTAGGGCAGCCAGCCATATTCGGACAACAATGGCTGTAACAAGGAATTGCGCTTTAAACCTCACTGGTGTTTCAGGGAGAGCAGGGAAGTCAGATCCTCACAATAAGTATAGGCCGTCTAGAATTTCCTGCAAAAGTCCAAAACTCCCCGTCCAGCACCGGTAAAGCCTGAATCCTGAGTCCGGCACAAGGCTACGCACAACCATATGGATACGGGAACAGTAAGCCTACAAGGGTTATGGTCATGGCAAGCGAAGCGGCTTGTCTGCGGCTTGTAACCACCGACGTTACACGTGTCCAACATGTGGTTGTCCTTCAGCTAGTTCAAGTTCGATGGGCATTGCTGAGCTGAGCAGTTCCTACGTGCACCAGTACAGAGTTGTTCAAAAACAGTGCGCGCTGTTAAGGTCACAAACATGGACTACTTGCTGACTACATCTTGCAGTACATACGAGGGATCAGGAACACCCTGCGTGCCCCATGATACAGGAAGAGCTTTTCAAGGCAGTTGTGCGCGGTTTGAATGCAGCACCCGTGCTGAACTTCAAGAAACAATGACGATTATCAGCATGGTCGCATGTAGCTTCCTTGTGGAAGGCTTAGCTGATTGAAGCTATGACTGGCACAACGTGTTATTTTTGCTTGTCCAAGCCCCTTTTGACCCCTTCGCATAGACGCGTGTTCTACACAACAATTCGGCCCACATAAATCGAGAAACATCGTGAATCAGCTGCTAGGACCTGAATGACTCTTGGCCTTCAACACATGATGAAACAGGATCGAGGCCCGCCGAAACTACCTCGAACCTCAACACTTAATACAAACACCGCTTTGAGGAACCTCCCCTAAGTAAGGTCGCTGGCCCTTTTTGGATATATTATTCGCGTAAGATACGGTAAAATAGCATCAGCAGCCCAAGGTCCCGGATACATTCGGTGAGGGACCTGTCACGCGTTACGATGCTGCTTGGACCTGCTCCTATGAGATTCAGGGGTTCTTGCTTTGAGATTGTACTTGAGGTAAGTTGGGGTTGTCAGATATGGCTGTTAGGCCTGAGGCGAAGAGAGGTTTGGATGTAAGGCTAAGGGGTGGTGCAGCACCAGAAATAACCCCTATATATCCCCAATATGACCCCTCTATAACCCCAATATAACCACTATATGAGGTTTAGGGTTGCCCCAGCCGCATAGAATCCTGAAACCCCCTCCATGAAGAAGTCAGCGATGCTGAAAAGGTCTTGGAAGCAAATGGCAGCGTGCATTATATTGTGGGCGTTTGTTTAGTCTTGACCTGATGATCAAAGACGGCGCCGAAAACCCTAACAAAAAACCCTAAACCCTAAACCCCTAAACCCTAAACCCTAAACCCTATCTCAACCCATAATTTTGAAGATGCTGTACATCCCAAACCCTGAACCGAGCAATCCCAATCTGTATGCAAACGCCTTGACTCTACAAACGTCAACCCACATGAGCCGCAAACGAAAAATGTTGCCAGCGACAAAAAACAAAACCATGGAACATACCATGTCATTTTGGTTTTTCCATGTGATTCTCGGTGGCTAAGTTAGTTCTAGCCCTATAAGCCCAAGTTCCATTTCATTTGTCAATTTTCTGCTCCATTTGACTCTCCGTGTTTGGTGATGTTTTAGACCCACATGGGAGGAAATTAGTGCGATTAGCAAGCCAGCTGGTTGATGGAATTTGATGGATAGGTGCGCTTCTCCCAGATCGTGCCTTGGCTGAAGTCTACACCCGGAGTGGGGGATGGTTGGGTTTAAGGTTCCTTGTCGCTTATGACTGGAATGCGGTACAAATAAACCCTAAACGCCTAAACAGTTCTGATGACGTGCCTTCTGCTGTGTAGCGCTCACTCATTTGTTCAGACCTCAGAGATAGCGCGAAGTAAAGCCTAAGCCAAGGATGAAAGTTGCCTCTACTTTTGAGGTTCCATAAGGGTTCCTTTGAGAAGACCTTGATTGTGTAGGATAATACGGATCTTCGCATCCTGGCACCTCGAGAGCAACTCGCAGGATCCAACAGGTCAACATGAAATGGCGGTGTTCCCAAAATTAAGTTGTTTTTTCTTTTGGGGGGGGTCCCATACAGGTTTGTAATATTGGGGTCCCGAATTTTGCAAAGCTGCCAAATGATGTTGAGACTTTGCTGGTGATGAGAGTTCCCTGGCACAAGTTTTTGTTCCAGATGTTTATCCAGAGTTTCGCAAACTCGTGTCTTCAAGGCGTTGCCCTGCTGGCAGAATGAGCGGCTGGCGGGCTTGCCTATGGGATTTATTTGCTACAGATGCCTCATTTTACTGCGGGCGATTGCATGGGTTCATGTTCTGCCAACCCTAAACCCTATCCTTTTGTTGCCGTGCCTGCCGTGCGATGCGTGCGTCTAAACCCTGGGGCCCCGCGTGCGCATCAGTGATCCTAAGGCCATGATGAAAGGCGACTTTCGCCTCGTCGAAGACATTAAGCTCTGGGCCTGGGATGTGTGATTTGTGGTCGAGTTTAGTAGATTGACGTCGTTTACGGGACTTTGAGGCTTCAAGGTTGAGGCACAATTGCTTAGAGTGAAGGTTTAGGGGCAAGGGAGGCAGATTGGAAATTCATGGTGGGTCTTGCAGCAAACTGTCCCCTAACTCTGCATCTTGGGAGCTTTTCGGATTTCAGTGTCTCCCTGTCCTCAAGCTTTGTTTTGAACAGTTTTTTGACCTATGGCTCGAGCAGAGGGAAATGAAGATTTGCTCCCAGTGTGAAAGTGTGCCATGAGCAAATTGCGGGTCACGGAATAGTTCGGCGCCCGCGAAATACTGACCATCATTGTGATGATTTTTCCTACTACTAGAGCCCTCCGTGTGGAGAAGCTCAATGTACTTTGCAGAGCAGTGAAACAACACATTGGCATTGTAAGGTTCCTTGCCTTGAACCTGCTGCAATCCATGGCCCAAGCGTCACAAGTGGCGCAGAAAATTGCAAACGCCCGCCCACCGATCCCCCGGCGGGCAAACGGGTGGGAAAGGGAGCTATGGTTTCAGATCTACAGACCCAAAGAGGCTTAAGCAGGCAGCAAGCAAAAACACTTTACTCCGCGATCAGCTACAGCTACAGATGGGTCTCTTTTCCTGAATCCCAGCTGCCAGAGCTCTTAAAGTCGAAGAGATCATAGAGAGTCAGGTTCTCATTGCTTCCCAGATTTTTCAGTAAAATATAGTATACCAAATGAGAGTGATTACTTAACCTTAGGGCTTGGGGGTTATCCTATTTGGGGGAGGGGACAAGCACATCGAAACCAGCAGTCCAGCCAGAGCCCGGCCTCGCCATGAACCGCGTCATTTGGGTCCGGAGCGACCCTTGACCTGCGCACGATGAAGGGTTTGGTGTTAGAAGGGTTTTTGGGATGTGATGATAAGGATTCAGGGTCTGGTATTCAGGGTTCAAGGTCTGATGTTAAAGGTTCAGGGTCTGGGGTTAAGGGTTTAGGGTCTATAGGGATTGATTTCCGACGTGGAGGTTTGCTGCGATGGTGCTTGCCTTCTGTCTTCTGTCCCTTCATGAAGACCTGCTACGTTAGGGATGTAATTTGATGTCGGCAATCTGGTAGGTCCTCGTTCAAGTATGCATATATGCATATGAAACCCTGGAACCCTGCTAACCATCACGCAAGCTTTCCGTGTAGACTAGTATAAACTTGCATGACAATACTTCAGTTGCATTCGAGGGTTTTCTGAGACTTAATATTTTCCTGATGTTGAGCATGTTTGAACCCAATCAAGAAGATCTCAATAATTGTCACTGATGTTGAATCCAGAGTAGTGCGGGGATCCCCAATAAAGTACAGCTTGTTGGACATTATTCTGGACCCCTTAGTTGATTTGACGGGATCCCAAGAAAGTCTAATTTCTGTCGGAAAAACTTGGGAAAGTTTTGATGAGGCCAAAATGATTTGGCTTTAAAGCCAGGCCTTTGCATTGCATGAAAAGGACAGGCTCTATTACTTCTCGAATCTGGAATTTGTGCCACCCAAAACAATCCACTTCGTATTAGATGGCTTATTCGAACAGGCCAGGCAATCAAATTCCAAAGGGGGTAGTCCAGCAGAGCCCCTGATCCTCAATAATATGAAGGATTTGCGGTGCTCAATAGTGTAAAAGGTTTTTGGCCGGGTTTCTTGTGAGGCCATTAAAATGTGTTTCTTATTCGATTCCCAACTGGTTCTAATTGTTTAAGAGAGATATTCTATGATTTTAACTAGATTGTAACTGCTTTTCATAGGGTTTCAAGGCCAGGCCATTTAACATCAAGGCCGAGGACCCTTCCCTTCCTATCCTCTTGAAAGCTAAAGTGAGCACATCCTCATGTATATACAAGCCAAAGGATCCCTCTTTCCTTGTTGATTGTGGAAGGAGCCATAGGACCCCCCGCGCCCCCAATTCGTGCTGATGCCTTTTTATTATAGAGGCTCCCCGTTTTGTCTTGGGGGTCCCCACACTACTCTAGGCAAAACATACACGCTTTTCGTCACACATACCCCAATCAGGAACTGGAATTGTTGTCGGCATAACCCAAGAGAATTCCAGTTTGCGTATCATTTGTCATTTGATTCTTCGCTACACCTTATATTTAGCTTTCCCCGTTGTATAGTTTAACTACGTCCAAGGAGGTGTTTGACCACGGTGTCTTCAACACCTCCATCCGCTGGTCTGCTTCTAAGGCCGGTAAAGATTGCTAGAAGTTGATAGGGTAACGCAGGGGCCGGTTTAATTAGAATGTTGGGGTTTCAGAGTAAGTCTTTTTGTTGCCGTAGTTAAGCGCACGAGGAAATCATACGGGTGATGCCTGTGGAGATCAAGCTGGGCATTGTTCGGTTTATTGACTTCGCTGGAGGGAATGGAAAAGCATGATGTGGGGCAAAGACTGGCGCAAACAGACGTGCTACAAGCATGGAAAAGTCTTACTGTATGTGAGACAGGACAATGTAGACATTTGTGGCATGGCAACATTGTATGCAAGCTGTGCCCAGGGTATCTGCGAGCCCCCTACTTCCTTACGGAACGTTTTGTTCTATTCAGTTCCTTTTTTGTTATACTTGAGTGGGTGTCCACACTCAATGGTTGCGCGGAGCTGTGCTAGCTGGCAAGCGGCGTGGCCTTTATCTTCTAATCTGCTACGTAAGGTACTTGTGGTTTCTCCCCTGAATGTCGGCATGCGTGGCTTGAAGAGTTGTTTGAACATGAGCCATAGACGTAGGGACCTTCAAGGTGCAAGGAAGGCCCGCCTGTTGCTTGCTGTAGCAGGTGCTCAATTTCTTGACCACTCTGATGCCCGGCTTCTGATTTCGGGTGTGGGGATTGATTAGATTGACGTGATGCTCACAAGGAGTATCAAGGAGTCAATAAGAACAAATTCTTGTGCTGTAGAAATCTGAATGACCAGCAAGATTGTCAATAGCTGCCGTTCACATCAAACAGGTTCTAACACCTAGGCATTTCAGGGGCAATGATATTGTTACCGCCATGCCTTGGGGTCATGACATTGCAGGTTGCGTCCTCTAAGGACGGATAAGCCTCGAAAGGAAACTTTCCTTGCCCCAACTCGAAAGTGCCGTGTGTGTGCCCTTCCTTTTGCATTGTGGACTGTTGCTGTGCCAGGCAGTACTTTGCAGGCTACCGAACTCTTTGTGAAAATCACTTGAAGCAGCATGTGCTGAGAGAGCAGGGTCATCGCGCACGACTTAAGCTCGAGCCCCTCATTGCTGCAGTACTCCTGCAGTTTTCCTGACAGAGGAAGGCGTATCAAGGATAGCATGACTGGAGCAACGGCAATCCTCAAAAGTTTCTCTGGCTTGAATGCAGCACCTGCGAAGCCCAGGAAGAGCCATTGCTCAGCAACGAGCCTATCCAAAGAGGCATGGTTGGATGCCCAGCTGAGTGTAAAGGTGACGAACGCTCATAGATGGCCTTTTGTTTGGGCTTGGAGGTTTGTTCCACAAATTTCAATAGTTGGCTCTACCAATTTCCATCATGAGTCTCATTGGGACTTCTTTGCAGCATCGTGATTGCATCGCTTCGTCATAGATGGCCTTTTCTTTGTGTTTGGAGGTTTGTTCCACAAATTTCGATAATGTTGGCTCGATCGATTTCCATCATGAGTCTCATTGGGACATCTTTGTGGCATCGTGATTGCATCGCTTCGTCATGCCCAGATCCATTCTGCCATTTTCCGCATGAGGCAGACGCCGTAACTTGAGTTGTTGTCCTGGAACCTGTCGAGTGCCATCGTGTGAATGTTCGCGTGCCAGGACGTTTCACATCCCCGCTTGCCTTCTGCAATCGCGTGTACTCTTTCCCTGAAACCTCTTTTGAAATGACCGCTCGACCCGCTCGTGGAAAGCTATGCAGTCCCCAAACACTTGGCCCTTCGAGTTTCAAGCCACTCTCGTATCCTGTAGGTACCGTCAATAGAGCACGTTTCAGTATATAGCAGCAAGAATGACCGCACGAGAGAGCCATGGCAAGAAATTCTTGATATTTCCCTCCCCAAATAGTGTAGTAGTTTCCATTCCATGCTCTATGGTCCTATTCATTGGTCATTAGGGATTAAATAATGCCACAGCTCAGGACCTCAGTACCTCCAAGTGCAAACCTGCACTTACAGAGCCAGAGGCCATGGCATATTGGAAACGCGGCTAACAGCAGCTTGCAAATCCCTAGGGCTCCATGTCTATAAATAATACCTACATTGGGCCCCAAAGTCTATAAGTATGACCTACATTGGGCTATTTGGAGCCTTAGGGAATGGGTGTTACACTTTCTGCGATTTCCAGATGTTGTGGATTGATCTGGGAACCCAGGTCTACGGGCCAGCTTGGAAGAGAGTTCTGTTCACGAAGACACCAGGGTACATACAAATAAAGTATATGTCAACTTGCCATAGGCAAACTTGATACCGCTATTCTGACCAACGTTGTGATGTCTTTATTAGATGTCTTTGGTTCCGCTTGCGGCTTTCGATGTTGCTGTGTCTTTTGCCGCTTAATGCTGTCAGATTGTATCAGAGCCATTGTCAACATTTTCCATCAAGGGAGACTGGGGAGGGCAGAACCCAAGTTATAACTAGGTAGCATCCTGTAGACCTTCCCCATAATTGCGGTTATAGACACAACCATTGTTGAGTACCATGTCTACCTAGATTTGCATGCAACGCTTCTTTGGGAAGAATCAGCAAGCCATGCGCATAGCCCCAGTCTACTTGAGGTTTCATCATGTGCTTGGCGCATCGCGCCTGGAACCTTTCTGTGGAGGTCCCCAAGGAGATTTCAGGCGAGCAGTTTCCCCCACATAAGCTTTACATTGCCATTATGTACCTCGTCGACTTGTCGCCCCATGAAAGCCAAATATCTATATCTATATCCGTATCTCTAGCTACTCTAGCTGTATGCATACATGTATATGCATTTATTTATGCATACACACGTATACACGTCTTCTGTAAGGGTACCAACCTGGCACCCTGCCACCTGAAAATCTCTTTACTAACCTTAGCAAGGTACAACAAATCCACTGCTTATCTTGATCATTGTCAGTGTTCCATGTGTGGATGCCATTCTGCCATGTTTCAGACCTAGGCCGATCTCCATACCCTAAACAGTGGTTTCCATTTTCTTTTCCACGATCCCAATACTTATAAGCCAATAACCCAATATTACCCTAAGAATCCCTGGATGAAATCTGGGGCTGCCAAGGACAGTCTTCAGCGTGCTTCAGCAGTCCATTTTCGGCGACCCCGGTGACGCTATGGACATCCGAGCCTTTTCTGACATCAGGCATCGGGAGGTGCGTAGCACAAGTTAGACCAGCTCAGGTCAGAAGGATTGGGGTGTGAGCGCAGGTGCTTTCAATGCAACAGGGCGTTTATCTCCCGAAGGCCTTGTAGCACCATGTTTGTCGCAGTATTTGTGGGCACTACTCGTGTAGAGTCTGCGCGTGGCCCAAATCAACATATTCATGCCTTGAGGCCCCCACCCTGCAGGGATTGAAGAAGGTTATATAAATATGGGGGCCGAGGAAGAGTTTGTTGAGTTTTGACTGACTGACCAGACTCACGGTCCTGGCAGCTGGTTCACAAAAGAGGCTAAGCCTTCTCCACCAAATACGAATCTGTAGTCTCCTTAGGAACTGCATAACATTTATTATAGTACAAGGAACTGTAGAGTAGCATGTTTAGCATAGGTCTAAGGAGACTACAGTAGTAGGCTTCTCGATGTTATGGGAACGTTTGGTTGACGGGGGCGGGGTGGAGGGAGCTAGTGAACAGGGACCTGGATTAAATGTATGTCAACGGTATGTATACATATAAACCCTACAGAGCATGAAGCCCTGCCCACACAAATACTCATGCCCCTCGAGTACAAAAAGTAACGTCAGAAAGTAGCACATGCATTACAATCGGGCATTTATGAAAAGAGTGATGGTTTCCCAGATCATGACCCGCATCTTTGAACCTTCCTGGAGGTGTGATTCTCTGTTGAAGTAGAGGCTTGGTCTACAATTCCAATCTTGTTCGAATCAGTAAGGTAGGGATTTTGGGGTCTAAGGTGTACCGAAGCGGGAATTGGTGCATATAGGGCTTGCAACACAGACTTGCAGGTGCGAAATTACGTAAAGGTTTGGGGTCAGGGTCTGACTGGTGGCTCTCCTTGGCAGACACAGCTGCACCAGATTGCACCTACAAGGGAGGTGTGTTTGAACCATGCAATTCTTGACCAGAGAGCAGGCCTTAGCATGCTCCTTTTTCGAGAGAAGGCTATGCAAGCTGCAGCTTAGGAGCCGTTTAGGGTTTACGGCTTACATACTGCCACCTCTCGTGTTGGGTCCATGCGGCGCGCACAGCTTGGGAATCAGAAGCTCTTTAACAATGACTTGCAGCATGACCCTAGTCAGTCATAGCCTACCAGTTCGGCGCTCTAGCGTAGTACGTGGGGTTGGAAGGGCAACCGATACTGTACTTGGCTCTTCAAGCTATCGTACCACGGGAAATCAGACAACATGCCTGCTCCCTTAAGTGAAAAGCAAGTGACCCCCCACAAGCCACAACATTCACAATCACATCACAACATATATTGGGAACATTAAGAAGAAGGGACGGGAATGACTGGAAGCTTGGCAGTGCAAGGATTCATCGGTCTCCTGCTTAGCTGTCAGATTTTCAGCGCCTTGGCCGCGGCAAAGGGCTTGGGGTTGGGCTCACGGCAAACGAGGTTGTTCTCATTTGGAATTATTATTAAGCTGTAGGCCGCATACATTATCTGCAAAGGTTCAAGGATTTTGGGTGTTCAGGCTTAGGGGGGCAGGTTTGGGGGAGACCAAGAGGGGAGAGGGTGAGAGAGTGCAGGCACTCCAATATGAAGTAAGATTGAAAAAGGATATTCCGAAACACAGGGGTCCACTTCATTACTGTACATCCCTGAAATACAACCATTTTGTTTACAGGGCACCGAAACAAAGACCCAGTTGGAAGCTCCCAAGTGCGCTCGTAGCCGCGGCAGAGATGTTTGTAAGTCCTATAGAGATCGCTTTTGCGGTGGGCGTAGAGCAAATTAAGAGGGATTACCATGAAAGCTAAGTTCTTCATAGGAGGCAATTGCATTCCCGGAGGCGCCACGGTGTTTTTGATCGGGTTCTTGCGAAGGTAAAGTCGATAAAGCTTCAGCTCATGCCCTCCATAGATTAGATTTTTGGCCCTTGAAGATGGGTGTAGGAAGTAGAGCCAGAGGTTGTTAAACTATAGATGCTTAGATTAGGTTCACTTCTTTTGAAGAACTGCAGAAAGCCGGGGTGAGCTGTGAAGGTGGGTGGGACTTCAGAAGCCCGCTCATGGTCTGCAAGCCACAATTTCCAGCCTTCTAGCCTTTGTCTGAGGAAGTTCACAGGATGCTATTTCAAGGGTTAAGCTCTAAAAGCATGCGCACTTCGTAGTGGACTGCCCTTGACTCCTACTGGGATACGTGGCAAACGAAACCTATGATTTTGACAACGCCCTATGTTGTACGCACGCTACATGCGTTTTGAGACATGGGGCTGTTTGCGCACAACCTCGCAGGCACCAACCGCGCCAAGACCGACGCCACCAAGAGCGAGGCGTTTTGCTAGCTTTTTTGTAGTATTTGGAAGTAGAAAAGGGGGCAGTACACAAAGAGGAAAGTGTCGGCAAGCTCTTGGAGTTTGGTAGAACGTCGCTTACAGCGTCCGATGCCAGGCACAAAGATATTGAGTTTGTAGGGGCTGCCGAATGTGAATCTGTTGGACGGGCAACCTGACACAGCAGGCGGTCAAAATTATGGTCATTTTTTCGGGCACCCTAAACATCAGAGACCATGCTATAGCGGGGACCCAAGAAGGGACCACAATTTTGATAACCTACCGCATGATAAGACTTCTGCGCCTGGATGGGGAGATGTTTTCAACATTCAACATTCAGAGAACGCTGCTTGGAATCTCAAACAATCCCTATACAAAATCCTTGTATACCCCTACAAAACAGGAAGCCCGCTGCAGGTCTTCAACGAGCGAGCGCCAGGTCACCTCTCCCCGCGGCACTCGCCAAGGGGTTCTCAGAAGCCGTCGGGGCCGCAGCGGGGCTTGGGGGTTTCGCAAAATTAGGGGTACCTTTGTGGAGGGGTACCCATGATAAGGGGGTCCCGGATACTTAAATATGGAAAACACATCGGCGGCTTTGGGGGTACCAAGCGGCTCCTTTCTTATGGGCGGCCCCAGATATCCATAAAGATTATGCGACAGCCGTATAGGGCCCTGTGGATATGTAGGCTCGGCAATTCTGGGTGTTAGGGCTCAGCCGGTTTTCGCTGAGATTGTGCTTGAGCCCTAACCTGCGCTGTCTAGCTCACACTGGAAATAACTTCCTTGTCTGCCCTTTCCTGAGATATTTCAAGTAAAGCCGAGTCAGTCTCAAGATGCGCGATGAAGGTCTATCACCCATGCTCCCACTTTGGGCCGTGGTTCGGACTTGACGCAGTCCCTGTTGACTCTCAGCTGACGGCTTAATATTTGGAAGCTCTGGTGAGAAGGCCTAATTGTAGCTCTCAGCAGCTTTTCGGGGCCCTGCGCAAAACCCACAGTTAAGGGGCCTCAAAGGACTCTACGCCATTGGGCCTTTTCCGTTGGTGTGCATGCAGGCTTTGGCTTGGTCAGGATGTGAGGGTGAAACATGCAGTTTTTAGTTCCGTCTTTGAGTGGGTGTAAAAACGGCAGACAGCACCGTGCATGGTGAGGAGTGCCACCAACATGTAGCTTATATTGCATGTTGCTTCATTTGGGGGTTGGAGCGATGTGTACTCGTCCGGTTCTCAGTGCACACGTGTATATTGGAGGGGGTTCCATACCTTTCGGATTGCAGCAAGTGTGGGTGGATTTAGGGATGTGACAACGTAGGGACCGTCGTGCATCTGTTTGCTGGTCGGCCTTCATCAGGGCCGTTTCCGGGTTGAGATGTTTGTGCGTGTTTTTGTTTACGGGGTCTGTCGCGGGAGTCTACAGTTTATAGCTAATATGTAGCGGTGGCAGCTGCCTGACAGTCATCAGGTCTGAGGATCTGGAGGTTTCTGGAAGCTAGGAGTCAATGAAGTTTTCTTCTAATTATAGGACTTTCTAGAAGACTTCGACTTAGCCTGATGAAGCAATCCTTTTTAGCAACACTTATCTCCGAAAGTGCGTAGGGTGAGCAAGTGCTCTGACAGCTCTGGCCAGCAGGCAGTGCATAGACAGCTTGGCATGTACGCGTGTTTGTTTTGGTTCAAACAACAAACTGATGAAAGTTGCCCAAAAAGCGCCTGAAACTGCCTTTGCAGAAAACACCTTCAGGGTGGCACGGAAACCAATGTTTGGTAGTTTCCCGAAATCAGGGCACCCCAATATAGACCCCAATATACTATGTTCCTTATTATCTTATTATAGGGGTCCCCAAAAAGGTACCCCTAAATTTGGGAAACCCTAAAACCTGTATCACCCCCTAAAAGCACCTATATCCACTGTACAAATTCAAAAGGTACCCCTAATTTTGGGAATCCCCCATTTGTTGCATTTATACTTTGGCGGCGGTCCGCAGCAAACAGTTTCGCCCAGCGCCAGTAAGACTGGCCCGGCCCTGTTGTATTGTCGTCATAAATTGAGGCTAGAAGGGGTCCCTCTAAGGGTGATTTAGGGGTGCTATAGGGTTTTTTCGCGATTAGGGTTTAGGGATTAGGTTTCCCAAAAGTAGGGGTACCATTTTGGGGGTGCCCAGAATAAGAATTAGTGTATTTTAGGATCTGCATTGGGGGTCCGCATATTGGAGGTAGAACTTTGGGAACCAGAATTGCAAGGGTGCATGCGATCTAGAGCTTTAGAACGCCCGCTAAACCGCACACCCCTAAGCCCCACAAGTCAGAGCCCAAAGAATAAACCCAGAATCCCAAGACCTTATCAAGGTCTAAAGTGCAAACATGACGTCTTCAAACCCTGAGAAGCAAGGAGCTTCGTCAAGGCACACTTGAGCCTCTGGTTGCAGATTGCAAGCTTGTCCTTGCAGTCTGAACCAGCCAACATCAGTGCCCCTTGGTCCATACAGGTGCGCCTGACCCCGGGGTGGGCTTAGGATTTCTGGCTTTAGGGCGAGAGAATCTGAAGATGATGACGTCAATGTATGTTGCCTTCGTCTCTTACCAGAGCCAAGACGCTTTGCGGGATTCCAAAAACACGGCAAAGCATTGCTTGCAGGAGCAAAGCGAGATTGATGACAAGTTATTATTTCAAAGTCAAACACAGGTTGCTCTGGCACCATGCCCGCTTCTTCGTCATGTGCGTATTCTCGCTTGGGTAGCTTGTGGGGCGCAGTGGTCAGGTTGATCATTCTGGCTGCTCCTCAGTCATTTGCAACAGCCTTTGTTAGACCGATAGCAACACAGGTTGAATCATTTGTGAAGACAGTCGGTCAAATGCCAACTCTAGCATATACCGTAGAAGCCTGAAGAATTGCCACGATGATGGTCATAGATTCCTCCTACAGGGTAGCTCAGATGGAACTCTAAACGTTGTTGGCAAAAAATTGACCGTCACCGTTGAGCATGATTGCCCGTCCTGATGAAAAAAACCTGCAGACCCCACAGCTTAAGCCCATGCCCCCAATTTACATCAACATGCTATGGTTTTATTCACTTATATGAAGGGTTTGTCCTTCAATCTTAAGCCCATACCCACCAAGAATCCTTGGACCTTGCACCGTAGAACCCTCTTGGAGCCGAGGTTGAGGAGTTCGACATCCTCGGCCTTGCTCTCTGCTGTGGGAGCTCGAAATCCCAGCCACTGCCCTCCGTCTTCTTGAAATGATTAAATTGGATGCATTCCAGACTTAGGTAAGTGGACCTAAAGGAACTTACTGGTTCTGAGTAGGAAATGAGGGAGTACAATCTCTATATACATTCCTAAATTTTCTACTAAGAACTAGTAAGTTAAATGAGGAATGATAACCAGCTCTTGAGACAACGGCTGGAGTTGTAAGTAAACAATGGCAGTGGTGAGGAACATGCTCGTCATGCTTTGGGATGGTGCAAGGAACGCCTAAGGACTATCACAAGAAGGCCCATAGAAATCTGCAGCCTTTGCAAGGCTGCCTTTGCAGGAATCCATGGATCAAGTGTGCAGGCAGCTCGTCAAGCCTAGCTGCATGAAGGCGGATGCTGCTCGACCAGCGCGCTTGCTGCAGCATGCACCTACCTATTCCCTACGCATTAACCCGACATTTTCCTCGCAGGTGTGAATGAGACCATGGTATTAGCAGATTTCCTAAGCCCTCGTTTTTCTCAGCCAGAAGCTTCAAACTGTGAACCCCGCATCAAAAATCCTGAACGCTGGCCCCGAAGCATTCTTACACCTGATCTCGAGACCAATTAACCCCAGGCCCTCGGCCCTACTGCTGGAGCTAAAATTCGTAAACTATTGTCTTGGGAAGTGCGGTTTTCTATATAGTACTTCTACTAAGGTCATGCAGGGTCATTGCTACCGACAGCATGTTTGTCGGGTCTTGCTAAACCCCTCTCTAGGTCATAGTCCGTCCACCGTAGCACGTTATGGGGGGGGGGGTGGGTCCTTGCAGAATCGTAAGCAATACACCATACCCATCCCAAAAAGGAACTGCATTGCCCAAAGGGGAACTCCTTGTTTTCGGACGCCCTTATTCCTGTACACTACACACTACTGTAAAATTTACCGCTTTCCTTGTGCTCACCCGTTTGGGGTACTGTATGGTACTATCCTTTAACCCTTAGCCTTAACCCTCCCTATGTAGCCCCATGTAACTTTGATAGGGACCCTAAAACCCCTACTAAGGCGAGTACACCTTGTCGGGGCATAAGATGCCTAAATCCCAAACCCTACACCCTATATAACCCCTACACATACATGTAGTTATTTATGTATACACATCTATTCATGTCTCTCTCTCTCTCTCTGTGCCTCTCTTTCTCCCTACCTATATTCATATGCACATATCTAGATACATGAAACATGAATATCCCAGATATAAACCATTCAAATACCTAATAAACCCAGTAGCCCTGGTGTTTTTCAGGTTTCGGCTCTCCGAGGCTGTGCCCGAGCTCACCTCCAGGTGCATGGCTTTCAGGGAGGGCTGCTTCTATTCAGACGATGGGGTTGAACAAAGTTAGGGTTTAGGTTAGGGGTTTTAGGGTCAGGGGTTTAAGGGTTTAGGTAAGGGGTTTTGGGATTTCGGGGTTTACTTCTTGATGGTTGTAGTAGGGAATGGAGGAATGGATCCTGTCCTTGTGGCGAGTGGTCCTTCCAGAATCACCTATATAACTCTTTTCTGGACCCATTTTTCATGCCCGTACCAGCCAAGCAAGCCTAGCGTGAGCGCATTTGAGGCTCTCAGGCCCCAACCCCTGGGAGACCCTGGAAGTGTACCAAGGAGGGCATATCGGTCTCTAGTCTTCAGGGCTTGGGGTGTAGAGGGTTTCAGCAAGGGTCCCTACTCGAGGTACAATCATGTTGGGCTTATGTGGCGGGGTGGTGGATTGTATTATGGTTGGTTGTTCGGGGAGGTTGTCATATAGTGTTGTTTCGGGCTCTTGATTTGAGGGAACATGCAGGGTAGGTGAAAGAATTACCTGGGACTCCATGTACCTACAGTCTAGTAGTAATTACCCCCCAAATTAGTAGGTAAAACCCATAACTACAGCTGTGTAAATGGAGCTTCAGGTAGGGCCAACCGTTTTTCGAAAGCCAGTGAATCTTGAGCAAAGCTCAGCAGGCGTCTAGGAGCACAAGGCTGCAGTTCAGGTCTGCCGTGCGTTTTAGGGTCTAGGCTTTAGGGGTGTAGGGTTCTCTAGATTGAAGCCTCAAAGTCTCGACAGCAGAGCGCCTAGCGCAAAACTGTAAATTAAGAGAAGCCAACGGCGACACTGTGGTCTTTTTGCAGCTGGCGCAGCAGCTGCATTAGGCTCATGACTCAATCGTCTAGAGGGTTTTTCTGACTGTTTGACTTGAGACTAATGATTTGTCACGGAACCCGTCAACCTGTGGCGTCAGGTCTTCGATGCCTGCAGCAGAGTTGCGGAAAGCTGTGCTTCTGGGCTGGCATCAGTCAGGAAGCCTTGAGCCGTATTTAATTGTTAAAGGCACGACGTTTTTTGGTAAGTTTGTACTGGCCCTAATAAATCTAATGGATTCTTCGAAACTAGGTCTTTGCTTCGGACTTGTTCTGTTTAGAGAAAGTTCGCGGCCTGCTGATATTTCCACTATCGTCATCAGTCAGTTCTAGCTGTTTTTCATGCTTTTGGACAACCAGCAGGTTCTATACGGGGTATGATTTTGGTTCTCATCATGCGCGCTCGTGTGGTGCAGGTGCAGAATCCCTGACGCATCAGAGCTTTTAGGCGTGCGTTCCAATCTGGGGTTTCTTTGTACTCGCTCTAGTTGATAGCAAAAAACGACTGTGGCATCTAGGCCGGAGCACGCTTTTGTGTTTTAGACTGTTCTAGGTTACGCCGGCGTTACGTAATCTACGCGTCTGGTCCTGGCAAGATGGCCTAAGCTTGTTGCTAGAGTGTCTTCGGTCTTCCACGCTCGCCTAGGCAGAAGCTCCTTTGCTGGAATGAAGACACTTACACGACAGAGGCTGGGTTTGGGGACATTTTGGGACTTATGAGGTTTGGCTATCATGAGATTGAAAATAGCATTCCAGGCCATTGAGGCTTCGGGTTTGCGGCTTTGAGGTTTCTGCGTGCAGGTCTCAGGATTTTGAGTTTTGGCTTCTCGTGCCGGAAGCCGGCAAATAGATGAGCGAGCCAAGTCAAATAGTAAACTGCTGGCGTTTGCTATCTGGTACGCACCTGCTCAGTCCTCAAGCCCAGGATTCTAAATGCTACATGCTTGACGCCCCAACTTCTGAACCCCAAGCCTATAGAGCTTCGAAAGAGGTAGCCAAAGATGGCCTCGAACCTCGAGCGAAGACGCTCAACATCAGTGCCTTGTCCTGCCTGCAGGTATGTAGGGGTTTGAGAGGGATGAGAGTAGTAAGATGCCCGCAAGGTAGTACCAGGAAGTTCTTTTTCATATCAGGGGTGGGGAGTTCCCTTCTCAGAGAGGGCACTAGGTCCACGAGAGAAGTGTTTGAAGTTCACACATCCCAGCCCAACTCCAGATGAGGGCTTTCAAGGAACAGTGGACTCTTTTGGGGGGTTCCTACAACAAGGCTTATTATATGACCCCCTAGTAGTAGTAAACCACCCCACACCCGCTAACATTAAATACTCCCGTTCAGTATTTTATAACATAGTGGGACTAGTTAATGTGTTAGGGGGGGTTTGAAAGTAGGGTGAAGGGATTCCTGTTGTCTACAGATTTGGGCCGCCCAACTTAAATATGACCCCCCTCTTTGACATTGATGGCAGCGCAACCGGGTCTCTGCGAAGTTGGAGGTTCAGCAAGGAGTCTTGAAGCCGCAGACATAAGCGGGGTTTCCAAAATTAGGGGGTCTATATAGGGCGTCATATAGGGTTGCCTGATTTTGGGAAACTACCACCAGTCTCCTTACTCTGAAATTACCCTCCGCCTTCAACTGCCGATCACCAGTTTCTGAACCCACCCCCTGGCTTCACATAACAATGAAACCACACCCCGCAAATAGTCCCGCTGTAGTACCGTCGTATGTACGCGCATGCTCATTTCTAGGGGGTGGCTTTTTTTCTTTGGAGGGGATTGCGGTTTGAAGGGAGTCAGTCGGCATATCATAATCATTTGCCTTGCCCCTATCTCGATGAACTGCACAGTTACTTCAGAGTTTTATGGGCTCAAACATGCAGGAAGATACACTTCCCTGGGTTGGCCTGCTTCGTGACTTGCTGGGTCCTGAGGTTTTCCCGTTGCTGCTTTGCATTTAGCGCCTGGTGGCAGACACCTACGGTAGAAATCTTGGTCCGGAAATGCCAATGTCTATGCTTCTAAGGATCGTGAGAAGTAAGCCCAATGATGCCCATCACTTTTCCTTGTGGTGAAGCACCCTCGCTCGCCGATTGCTCATTACACCCCCATTGGAAGAGTACAAGGCCATCTTGGGAAGTCTTAGATAATTGGGGGCAGGGGGTTTCTCCAGACATCCGAATCAAAAGCCTGATCAACCCTAGATGTTTACTTGGATGGTCAGCAGGACTTAGTAAGTAGACTTATAACCCCAATTACTCCTGTCATTTGCCTACTTACTAAATCCTCCTGGCCCTAAGCTGTATACCTTGGATAATGTAGTAGTGTCCACGTTCTTTTCCATTCCCTATCAATTATGTCAGAGATAACGTAGCAGTTTCCCTTTTCTATCCCCTATTAAAAGACCACACCCAGGCAAGATCCTTGAGTAGTTGCCACTTTTCCACTCCCAAAAAGCTACAACCCACACCCAGGCAAGATACTTTAGTCGTTGCCATTTCTTTCCCATTTCCTGTTAAAGCCTAAAACTCACACCCAGGCAACATTCACAAGAATGTTTGGTTTCACCGGCCACACAACGCCGAGTAGCTTGGACAGCGACAGAACATACAGTGTTCCTTTTTTAGGGCTTCTGAACGGGGATACTAGGAGTCTAGAGTATAGCTCTTATGGGGCTGATCTAAACTTACTTTAGGGACTATTTTGGAGGTGACCGTGGGCTTATAAGGGAAACGCGGGGGAAATGATTTCCCGTATGGCCTCTGGGGGGCGCAGGAGTTTTGATCAACTACCATATAGACTAACAGCTTGTAAAGTACATAGGATAATGTAGACCTGTGATTAATAAGCCCCCTCCGTTAAAGGGCCTTAATACTAGGATCCCTATAACAATCCCGATGTAACTTCCCTAGTGCGCATGTCATTTTCCATGTTCTTTTCCATGTGATTCTCCAGTGTTGGGGCTACTATAATCCCTATTATGGCATGGTGTGTGTGTTCCCAAAAGAAGGGGACCCAACTCCCTAAAAATTGAAAACCTGCTTTGTCTACATGTTCCCAGCTGAGTACTTCTCAAATACTTGCCTCAACAGCTGGGCAAGCAGTTTGGATGGTCCTATGGTCAAGTACGTGGCATGGAACCTCCGAACCCTTTCCCTTTCATGTATGTCTACAAAGCCTGTTCCCAAAACGCCCATCTCTTTCCAAGGATCGAATATCTGAACATCACGGATTGCAAAGATAGCACCATTTATGTGACAGCCCGGCTTCGCTACTGCCTCATCTCCGGCTGTGAGGGGACCACCATGCACCTCGGTAGACATTTGGTAGTTTCCCAAAATGAGGGTATTAATATAAGGGTTATATAGGGATGATGGAAAAGAAAATGGAAACTACAGGATTATATGGGGATTATATAGGGATTATAGGGTTATATAGGGGTAATATAAGGGTTATATAGGGATAATGGAAAAGAAAATGGAAACTACTATTTTATGATGGGGTATATATTGGGGTTATATGATAGTTTTCCCAAAATAAGGGGACCCCAATATAGACCCCAACATACTATAGTCCTCATTATTGGGACCCCTAAAACGGTACCCCTAATGTTGGGAAACCCCCATGTGTTTACAGGGAAAGGACTTGTGAGAGTGGAACCTCAATTTCCGTTTGACTTTCAGGTATTCTACTCCTCCACTGCGAACGCTAAGCCCTATAGTATATGTAGAGCACTTATCAAGGGGAAGCCATGAACGCCGCAATTGACAGAAAATGATTCGGGGTTTACCCCCCTAATGGAGTAATCACATGGACAAGAAGATGCAAAATAAGTCTGCAACTGAGGCTTTACAGTAAGTAGCTGGAGAAGATTGGGGTTACCAACGCTTGTGGGCTGCTTTTCGGTGATCCCGATGGGGTCCCTATAATAAAGAGTTGCGGTGTGTATTGGAGTTCCCTCTTCATGGAAACCTCATTTCATTTGCTGCGAGAATGCTTTGGTGCTGTAGGGAAGACGTGGCCAAGGATTCTTGGCGGAGTGTCCACAATTTGCACTACGCACAACTGCGAGAAGGTCAATGCAACTTGGCAGCAACAGCAATCAGCTCACCCTCAACCCTACCTGTAACTGCAACTACGTCGATTTTATGGGTTCTACCTATTAATTCGGGAGTAAGTACTACTAAGTTGTAGGTAATTGGGGTTTACAGGTAAACCTTTAGCCTGGTTGCAAGTTTCCCAGCAAGGAACGTCATGTGCGGAACGGTCACACACAACAACTTGACAATATAAACCCAATATATACCCTATTATAATGTAGTGGTTTCATGTGGTTTCCATTTTCTCTTCCATTATCCTAATATAACTCCAATTTCCTAAGCCCTAAACTCAGCGCGTGCCTAAATAGTAGTTTCCATTTTTTCTTTTCCATTCTCCCAAGCATCCTGCCAAGTTGATGTGGGAACCCAGAAAGCCCGGAAAGGGTCCCTAGAAGGCACATGGGCTGCAGATTCAACTTTTGCATCTGTGGGGAATGTCAGGTTCATGTAGCAGCGCACTGCTACAAGATGGAGAACTGCATTGATACTTCCGCTTACGTCTATTGAAGCTTGGCCAGCACGAAATCAGACTTTCGGAGCGTGCGAGAAGCGTCCCCCCAAGCATATACTGAAAGCCCTGGCGTGGAAAGGCGAGCACTTTTGTTGCGTTTACCAAATTCCGAGGAAGCCAGCATTGCAAGTGCAAGCCAGGCAAGTGCTGTTTCTCGATTACAGAAAAAAGGGGGATGCTTGTCCGCGCCAAACTTCTTTCAGAAGTTTGGTTCCTCAGAAATGTCTAGCCCTTTTGTTTCGGAACGATAGTTCGGAATTAGCTGTGAGGACAGGCTGTTAATTTGGTCTAGAGAACCGTGTTAACCTGAATCCCAACCGCCCCCCAAATTGGCTTCTGTTCTATCATCTCCTACCCTGAAAGAACTGTCTGGTTGCAAGTGTAGGGTAGGCCCAGACTTAAAGTGGAATGAAGGTGTCAACATCAGTCCTCCCAAGCAATGACAGCACTTCAGGTCACATCCCGCCGATAATCACAGGCGACACCAGAGGCCTCAAGCCGGGGAAAATGCAGTCTTGGGTCCCCCGTTTTTGCCGGAAGAGCGATAGGCTTGACGTAACTTCTTGCTGAGTCATTTGAACCCTAGCCTGTCGTCTTCCTTGTCACTGCATAGTCTCCAGTGGTGTTGTCCGAAGCAGGGCTATGCAAGTCATTCTTGCAGCCCCCTTGGACTAACAATGTGTGTCTCAAGGAGTGGGTAGAGTAAGTCGTTGCCACTTGAATCCACTTGACAATGGAATTGTGCGGCTCAGAAGGTTTTGATGTACGGCAGCCCCAGGAGAACCCTGACATATCGCAATTGAAGCAGCGGTCAGCACATGCCAGTTGTGCCGCTTCTCACGCACCCGATCAAAGATTTTAATGCCCATGTTCTTGGAGCGGCGCCCACAGAAAGGAAACCTTAGATGCCCCAGTATACAGTGAGATGGCAGGCATTCAGCTGGCGCCGTACAACGTGCTGCACTCACACATGGCCTCAGTCCTCCATGGTTCGCAAATGACCCTGGAGAAGGTTCGTGTGCCAAACAGCAGCAAAGCCAACCATCATGAATGCAATGCATGCAAAGATCCTGCAAGTACATTCACTGCAACAGCATGCGCCAGTGATTTGACTTGAAGAGCACAGGCCACCAGCCTTACCTAGGCGCAATGGATGTTTTTAATTTTACGACGGATTGACTGGCAGTGCAAAACCCCACAATCCCACCATCTCCTGGTGCATCAGCATCATCTTACAGAAATAAAGGCAGAGAGAAGCCATAACAGTTGTCTTGCTCCTGTTTTCATCATACTTCTCAGTCCGCTTCTTGCGTGTAACTATACTCCAGCAGAGTTTCCAGTGTTTGGTCCCAAGTGATCGCACCGTAACTCGCTGCAGGACTACGTGGACGTTTGGGCACATCCGATTTGCTGTGCCCTGGCTTGCCAGAAGAGTGCTTGGCTGATTAAACCATCAATCGGATAAAATGTTTCTCCCGCGTCCTGGCCCAGCATATTCAGTGTCCCTCTCTAGTGGCCGAAACAGACGCTTACAGCTGACTTCGAAGACATGAAACTAGCCGCAGTGAAGCACCAGACGAATGCATGAAGCATCTTTGAAGATCTGCTGGGCAATTTGGCACCATCGGGCCCTGTCTCAATCTTACACTACGTCTTCCATTCTGGAAATGCAGGGTGTGCTCCCTAAAACGTACTGCCTAGTTGTAGGTGTACACTCACATCTGAACGCATAAGAAGATGTCAAAGACCGTCAAGTGTAGACTCTCATGCAAAATCTAACCTTCCTGGAAGGAACCTTCTCAGATTTGGAAAGTGAAAGTGCTGATTACACGTTGGTCATAACACACGAATCCCATACAGACGAGACTCTTGCTGCTTGTTGGCAATGTTTTGGTAGCTACCATGTTTTGGGGCAAGCATAAACAAGGGCAAACCTCTTGCATCTGACGGCACGTCCACACCCCTGGGCCAGTTCTTGCCGGTCGCAGCCTCGCATAGCCCTCATCCCCAAGATCCAAGTAAACTGGGTTGCCTTTAAGGAATGCTTTTAAATTACTACAAGAAGCAAGCCCCATTATTTTCTATTTAGGTACCCATAATGATAATATGGAAACTTACACAAATTTCCTTAACAGCAACCCGTATTCCCCTACTATAACCCCAATAGATAGATACCCTATTATTATGAAAAAGCAGTTTCCATGTTCTTTTGCATTATCCCCTATATGAAACCAACATATCCCTACAGAACCTCTACATATATATATATACAGCCTATTATACCGCATCAGTTTCCATGTTCCTTTCCATTATCCGTATCTGAACCCTGGTTTCGCGCCAGGCACCGCTGGCATGGTAGAGACGTTGTCCTCGCGCGCGGGCACGCCGCTGGAGGAGCAGAGCCCTGGAATCGTTTACAGTCCCTCTTAAGTAGTTAGAATGTGGGGTTTAGGGTTTAGGGTGATAGTCCCCCTTAAGTAGATAGAATATGGGGTTTAGCGATTAGGGTTTAGGGTTATAGTCCCCCTTAAGTAGATAGAATATGGGGTATAGTATGGGGGGTATTTAGGGACAATGGAAAAGACAATGGAAACTACTATATTATATTAGGGTATACATTGGGGCTATATAGGCTACAGAGAAGCTTGAGTTGGGGCTGCATGAATAATGTAGAACAGCCATGTTGCCTCCATGCTTTAATCCCAACTTTCTTACCAGCATCCAGCTGGTCGTGGCTCTACACCATCCACCCTCCACCCCCAGAACCTAAAGCTACCTAGACACGTATCCCAAGGGGCCAAACTCAAAAGCAGGTGACTAAGTAAATCAATATGAGTTCGAGAAGCCATACCCCTGGAAATTCCAGAAATCGGCGACCATTGCTTTCTCGATGGTTTGATCCAATTCAATGCTAACTACTTGGCAAGCTTGCATGGGTCCGTCTCTTCAAGCCCAGGAAGCCCAAAGCGGACATGCGTGACCTAGTCTTCAGCCTCCGTGGCTATGTAATGACTTGGCAAGTGAGCTCACGTGGTCAACGTACTGGAAACTCTGCACCAAGGAACACCACGTACCACTTCGTCCATCCCAGCAAATTCTTCCCGGTCGTCGTTCCAGAGTCCCACGGTCGCAGCGCACCGCCGCAGCTGTTGTTGCCGGAGGTCTACGACAAAGCCATGCACCTTGTCATGCAGTAGCGGTAAGAATTGCAGTAGAAAAGTCGCAGTACCAACATCAGCAGAAGAAAGGTCATCAGCCTGTTCTGAACCCTTGTGAAGTTAGTAGCTGAGGTGGGTTCAGGCGAAGAGCAACAGTCATTAAGTGAGCTGCGCAGAATGGTGGCTGGTGTGATTGTTTGACACCGGCTCATCTTAGCAGTGACTCGTAGAGCGCTTTTGCACATGAAGGACCTTAGATGCCAGCAAAAGGTTTCCCGCCTGAAAGCTGTGAAGACTGTTGAAAGCCTGCAACTAATCCTATATATGCCTACACCATGCCCAATGAGTCAGCCATCCCGCCATTCGAGATAGGCTCTTAAAGTCTTAAATAAAAAAAGCATGACATGTAGAAGTCCGATATGCCCTGAAGGCTTGCCTTTGCAGAAAGGTCCAGGACAGAGTCAGAAAAAAACCGATGTCAATGAAGGGCTCACAATCTATAGTCCGCCTTAAGTAGATAGAGTATGGCTTTGGGTATATTCTAATAAGATCCCCATATACCCCATATTCTATCTACTTCAGGGGGACTATAGAGGCAGGGCTCATGTTCATCCTATTTGATTCAACCATGCAAAAACCGCAAATTTCGTTCATTTCCTAACGGCACTAAGTCCTTGAACCCTGAAACCGAAAGACCCAAGACATGGAAATAGGAGCCTTTAGAACTACTTAGAGAACCCTTACCGATTCGTAGGCAAACTACAAATGAATAGACTCACACGTATGCATTTTGGCCCCGTCTTCACACCAACCCTGAGGAAGGAGCAGCAGGATGAGGTCCGCCGGCTCATGGGTCGCCTACGAAGCATGCCCAATGAGGTGGCGCACCTCGGCCAAGCAGGTGATTGGGGCTAAGCGATGCTGGCAGATAACCACCCCAAAGGGTCGTGACTTTCTATACGTTGCAAAATGGGCTAGTAGCAGCTAGTCTGGTTGGGGCTAGTTTTTCCCGTGTGGGTACTTGGGATCCCTTGGGGTCCCGCAGATCTAGAAGTGCATCTAGGAGGGAGGAGTACAAGAAGGCCGATGCATGGCACAACCTACAGATTCTGAGTCCGTGTTGTGTAAACCGGTTGGGAAGGAGGCTGCTCAACCGCAGCCTGAAGGCGGCTTTTCCTGTACATGTTTGGCCGCCCCGAAAGTTGGGCAGCCGAAAGTCACGCGTTTCAAAGATGCAGAGGGTTGACCTTACATGTTCCCACATTCCCTTTTTGGAGCCCAATGTAATCCTCATATGTGTTGTCTCAGGAACCCCGACACACGAACTATACAGAACACCTTTATGTAATCCGCATATTGCCAGCCGGTATACATTCGCTTAGTTTGCGTGACCCTAAACGTACAAACCCTTCGAGTTGGCAAAAAGAGACCCAGGCAGAAGAAGGCTCAGGAAACAATCCACAGCCACTTCAAGGCTTCGGGTGGGGTTCAGGGCAGCATGCCGGCGCCTCCTTGGATGTGGAGAACCCTAGGATTTGCATGGGCGGTTCATGTGAGAGGTTTTTGGGATTTGGAGTTTGGGGTCAGGTGTTTGGGCGCGCGGGTCAATGGTTTTAATTCTAAGCTACTTCTGCATTTTCCAACATGCTTCTGGAGTGCCTCCTTTCTGCCAGCAAGCAACCATTGCTTTCAGGCGCCCAAGCCCTATGACAGTACCCTTCACGGCCCATATAAACCCCTCCAATCTGGACAACAAACAGATACCCCCAGAACTCGACGGCAACGTGCGACACCCTGATCCGTGCAAGTCGCGAAGCCCCCTATTGAGCACACCTCCCAGGTTCGCCTGAGCCCTGCGGACTCCACATGTTTTTGCAATTCTTATGCTCGCCTAGCACGAAGTTGCAAATATGCCTTTTAGGCTTACGACCCCACTTAGCTGTGAAATTGACAAATTTCAACCTTCAATTCTAACCCACTGCGCACCACAAAGCCTAGCCGTCATCTAGGGTTTAGGGAAACAACTGATACGCCGCATTTGCACAATCGGATCGGCCCTTATTCTTGCCATCGCGTGGGCAGAACACTGGAAAATAACCATGCATAACTGGGTGGCGGTTACCGGAGCTAAATTAATCCACATTAGTACGGCGATATCATAGTACATGATACAGTTTCCTATAGTTGGTAGTGATTTCGCTTAAGTTCCTTAACGTCAAGCCAGATCAGCAGCAAATGCGCGGCTCCCAGAGTTTCATAGCTGACCTTTGCAAATTTGCACGACATGGACCCGTTAAGTCCCTGTGTAATAAATCCAGAGTGTCCCCAAAAGCCCCAATTTTGACAAACTACTCTAGGCCTTTAACCTTCTCCCCCAAACAATTAAGCACTCGCCCCTGTCATAAGAATTTGTTTAACTAGCGCATGATGGTACCACATGTGGACGCGGGGGCACTTTCACCCTGTACTAGTAGCAAAAGTATCTATTTTCAATCCCTGAACGAGTAGTGATATTACTCACACAATTTTGGCAATCCACCTCCTGCAACATGTTTGCTACTCAGAGAGACTGCTTTGTAATTATTTCTTCAGGCCCCTGAAGTTGTTTGAAGGACTGGCTGCAGTCGACTGGCAAAGTGAGGCAGCTGTCCGACCTTGCACGCTGCTCCCAGCAGTTTCAGCAGAGGCTTTGAAACCACCAAGCCTAATTCGTGAACTTATCCAAAAACAACTTTCGCATCATCGTCCTGTTGCTTTGGGACTTCAGACGCGTATTCAGCTATGGACTGGACTAGGCCGCCGTGAGCTTGCAGGTAGGGCTTTTAGTAGGGGCTGTTCATGGGTAATTCTCAAAGCGTTTGGCTGCACCGAGGGAGTTTTCACAGTATAGCATTTTGTATTTCAAAAAATTAAGCCCATGGTCCGACTTGACATCCCAGACAAGGCTGACACAAAGGTAGTCTTGCCACATGGGGAATCTTTCGGGTTCGAGCTTATAGGGCTCCCTTCTAGTAGCAGGAGTCCAAATTTAGGTGCTCCGCCGAAAACGATCCATGACATTTGAGAATCTACGAATTCGTACGGTAGACAACATGTCAGAAAAGTAGTTGTACAGATCGGTGTGGTGGGATCCTGCCTGAATCGGAGCCAGGGTTAGTGGGAAGTGGCCATGCAGCTAGCTCGCGGCAAGTAAAGGCAAGCCAGATGAGTAGTATGCCAAATTATGCCAACCTACCGGGACAGAAGACTCCTTTTGAACTTCTGGGTGCCCACAAGAAGCCTTAATGTTGCAAAAGAATATAGTCCCCCTCAAGTAGATAGAATATGGCTTTGGGCCTTGGGTATTATAATAAGATTCCCATTTATCCCATATTCTATCTACTTAACCCGAAATCTACACCCAACCATCACTTGCCTCACCTCAATGCGCTGAGACTGAAAGTTGGGGAGCATGTTGGTGGAAGAGCGTGGGGTGGGTGGGAAGATGTTTCTTGGAAATTCGCAAATGAGTTTAGTTTAGCTACTTCTTTTAGCTTATTCCTCGTCTCTCTGCAGTATTTGAGGCTTGTTTACAATGAACCCCCACCCCAAGGGCCCCTCCCCTCTACGAAAAGTGTCAACTTTCGGTTCACTCAGCCTTGGATACTGCCAGCCCTGTTGCTCTGTGACGAGTATTCTGGAAACAAAAGTCCCCGTATATATACATCCCAAAAAAATCAAATCTTTCTTGTAGGGACCCGGCCAAGGCAGTCAATAGGATGAGCTATCGGAGTGCCTCATCCCTACACAGACCCAAGCTGAGTCCCTAAATTGGAATTTAATCATAGTAATCTGAGTATGTCCCGGTGGTTTGAAAGGGCCTTATTTTGAAAACCCCTACACATACTCTATCCTACCAACGGTAAGGCTTATAGGTTATAGTGCAGCAAATTCCCATGGGGCAACAGGCAGCGCAACGCCACATAGGCGGAGCTGGCGCAGTCGCAAAAAAGGAAGAAGGGTTTCCGGGCTAGGGTTTAGGTTTAAAAGGGTTAGGGCTCCAGATTAGGGTGAGCCAAAGGCAACCTGAACATCCAAAATTTATTTTTGGCTTTGCTGTTTGGTTGAGTTCTTTGCTCTGACACCGAGAAGGTATACTTTACGAGGACCCTCCACCCTGTAATGGTGGTATAACACGAATATAGTAAGAGGGCCCTAATATAATCCCCTTTATCCTTATAGTCACTACGTCCACCTAGAGTATACCACAGGAGACGGTTGACATGTGGCCGTGCTCAACATCAAGGTAGCCGGTAGCCCTTTATTGGAATCCGTAGGATCTGATTTCTGATTTCTTGGCAGTGTTCTTGGGGTTTAGGGTCCAGGTATTACGTGTTTTTTGGCAAGTCAAAAAAGAGTTCCTCATATCTATACGAGCTGTATGAAACTGGCACTTGAGTCCCTTATTCTGGGAAACCTCTCATCCTTCTTTGTTCTTAGTCCTCCGGTTGGCCATATGGATTAATCCCGCACATCCCCCCTTGGTCAGGGGTCATGGAAAATGCATGTCGTCCTCCTGAAGCAGAGGGCTGCAGAAATGGCCTTTTTTTTTTGGTGTTTTCCTATTTGACCTTAGCTGTTCTTTACGGAAGATTATGTGCCTCGGGCCTATAGGGTGCCTGATTTAGAAGTAGAAGCCTCGAGGATTAAGTACATTCTGGCACTAGATTTATCATAGTCTTTGTTTGGCCCCGTGCAGTAGATACTTGTTGGCTTCCCTGTGATAGGCGCCAGTCATCTAAAGGCACACGGAAATGTCCATACTGGAGTCTAGAGCATGAAGCAAGCAACAGTCTTTGGGGCCCCTGGCGAGGATATGGAGGGCTTGACGGCGGTGGCCGAAACCCTAAACCCGTTGATCTTGAATGTACAAAACTGGGATGGCCGCCTCGAAGATCCCAGCCACAAATCTTGTGAAGGGGGGCTCCCAACTGCTATATGCCAGATCAGCTACATTCTGAACTCATATGGTATCCCCCTCGAAAAGCCTTATAATACTCCCTATATCATCCCCTACATAACCTTGGCTGTTCAGTTAAAAGTATAGCTCTTATGCCATACAGCCCTGAATAGAAGACCCAGGGTGAAGACTGCAGACGTGGTTACTTCGCCCCAAGAGCCCCACGTGGAGGCCAGTCAAGTGTCGGTGTGAGGTCTACTACTTGAAGTCATTGATCATGTCCGAAAGGACCTGAAATGCAACCATGTCTAGAGCTTATGCGAGCTGTAGTCTAAGCTCCTGAAAGGGGTTATATAGGGAATACTACAGGGTTTATTAAGGGGGATACTAGGAGTTCAGACTATAACTCATATAAGGCATTTAAGCTAAGATCAAGCCTGTGTTGGAGGCTGCGGACGTTCCCACTCTGGAACTTGCTACGGTGGAGTAGAATAGCCCCTTTTGTCTCAACAACAATCCCCATGAGGATCAGGGGGTGGGCTCAGACCTCAAATATGGGGGTTTCCACATACAGGGGACCCAACATTGACTCCAAAATGTTATGATCGTTATAATGGAGACTCCGAAAACTTTGGCCCGAATTGTTTGGAAACTCCCATATTTGTGCGAGACTGAGGGCAGTACTAGTACCTTTTTGTGACGGTGTATTTGGTCCAGAGCTGCACTTGATCAGACCTGCTCTAGCGAACTGAGGCAATCCCAAAGATTGCAAGTACCCAATAGTTAGTTGGGAATCCCAGATTTGGTGAATGGCAGTCAGGTTTTGGGGAACTATTTGATCATTGGGTACTTGGGCCCGTGGGCAACAAGAATGCACATGGAGGTTTGCCATACAGAATGGCATCCTTGAAAGACATTGCTTGGGTAATTGCTGGATGTAAGGTTTTGTCTTAACGCATTACAACTTAGGCTTCATAATCAGGAATATAAAGCAGCACTTTGCTGGTGTGAAGAATGCCAGACTGAGGAACATATAATGAAGCTTTTGAGCAATCTGCTTTCATGGAACAGAAGGCTGTGATTCGCTGCCCTTCCTTGAACTGGGTTGCTGTCAAGGAGTTGGCGGTGAGTTCCCAGAATAGAGATGTAAATTAGAAAATAGGTTCCCTATGGTTTCTTTAGAATGCTAATTTTACTGAATCAGTACCGGACCAGTAAGCCAGTTCAGGCTTTGGTGCCCGGTGTTTGGGGACCGCTCATCGATCAGTTCTTTCAGGCGGGTGCAGATGGCCATTGGCACGCAAGCACGGATAGCCTGTATCAAGCTTGTCGGAGCGTTTTCAGCTTTCAGATTCTAGCTTCGCGTGACAAGCATTGTAGATCATGCGGTCGGGGCTTTAGATGTTGTTGTAAGTTCGCTGCTGTAGCAAATGGATATATGCAACATCGTTCTTTCAGTTTGAGGCCTTGTGCTCGGATAACAGCATGCAGAGGTGCGCGCCTACAGCGCAGCAGGCGTTGGCCCCTGGTCGGTCTCCAGCGATGCGATGCAGGTCTGATACGCTTGTTGTTCTTGGGGCTTCATTTCATGCAGGATATCACCTCCTCCGATGTGTTATAACTTTTGCATTTTTGGTGTCTGCTTGTCATCGCTTCCTTTTTCGGGGCAGTTAGAGTGGCAGCTTGAAGATTCGTCGTGGAAGTTCTGGCTTAACTCGTATTTGGTCCCTTTGGTACCCCCGCCCCGGAAGTGGGCTCACGTAGAGGAATCTGCACGGTGCCACCCCCAAGATGCTCAGAGTCGGCACCGGTAGCTTGATTGAAACGTTGGGCGTTGTGATGCAGGACTTGTAAATAGGGAAAATTTCCCGTGCGAGATGTTTAACTGAAGTACCAGGTAGGAAGCATGTCAAGCTGCCAACGTCGCGTAGCTTGAAAACCTGTAGCTCTCCTGACTTGGAGTGTGGGACGGTCGGGGGATGTCGGGGGATGAGTGGGCCCGCCTTCAAGAAGACTAGACGGATCACGGGCTGTGCACATGATGTAGTCTTACAGTCGTTGGCCCCTACATGCCACAAGCTCTGCCTAAGAAGGGGCCTTGCTGTGGACAAGCAAAATTCAGCACAACAGCCGCTCCCTGCGCAGTGCCCTGAATGAAAGCTCAACGACTGAATAAGTGGTTCACGTCAAGCGAAAAATTGGATAGAAGAGTGCTGGGGTGAGGATTCGGGTCTAGTTGTGAATTTGTGTGTTGCGGAGGGTGGCAAGCTGCTTTTCTCCATAGCTCGGTGTTTCAACGGAGACGCTCACATTGTGTGTGTGTGTCTAGCAGTCCCCTAAGCCCCGAGTCCTGAAGACATGTAGAAGCAGTGAGATCATGTGCAAAGCTGTTTGCAGGTGCAGTCGGAACGGCCCAGCAAACCGGATGCCCTGCCCTCGCATTCCATTAGGGATGGCTTCTATGGGGGATGTTTTTGAATTTGTGACTCTGCAAGAAGGTGCGCGGCCTCGAGGGATAGGATGATGCTGTTCAACTCAGACGTACGGAAAGCGGATGTGCGGACAAGTTGGCAGTTGGTTTGCTGTGCTGACCGAAGAGTCTATGCCTTCTCAACCCTTATTGAAAACTTGCTAAAGCCGAGAGCAAATTGCAGAGGGTGTTCGGGGTGGAGTCTTCAATCAAGGTTTTTCCCAAGCGGTGCCCTCAAAACAGGCCCTCGGCTCTGTTTCAGGCCTCTTTGAGTGTGGTTGTGC